TTGTTAAAATTGGGTACCGAGGAACTTCCCTGGTGGCGCAGTGGTTAAGAATCTGCCTGCCAATGCAGGGGACACGGGTTTGATCCCTGGTCCGGGAAGATCCCACATGCCGTGGAGCAACTAAGCCTGTGAGCCACAACTACTGAGCCTGCGCTCTGGAGCTCGCCAGCCACAGCTACTGAAGCCCACGTGCCTAGAGCCCATGCTCCGCAACAAGAGAAGCCACTGCAGTGAGAAGCCCGCGCACCGCAACAAAGGGTGGACCCCGCTAGCTGCAACTAGAGAAAGCCCACGTGCAGCAAGGAAGACCCAATGCAGCTTAATTAATTAACTAATTGAATTTTAAAAATACACAACCAAGTAGATATTTGTTTTAAAAAAAAAAGTGGGTACCCCAAATGCAGATTCTGACCAGCCCTGGAAAACCCAACAACCCAACGTTATCCTGGAAGAGACCCTCCCTGGAAGCCTCCAGCCTACAGAGCGCGCCTCACTGCCCCACACTGAGGACCCATCTATGCCCCTCCTGCCCAAGGGGGCCACACAGTCCAGCCGCCATCCCTTTCTTCCTACTATCCCAGCAATTCTGCTGGGAAACTGCCAGAGGTGGGCAACTCACTTCCGCAACGTTGGGCAAGGCACAGGATTGGGCAGGGGGCATCACTGAGGGAACCCTCTTGCTCACCAGAAGAGCCCCTCCCAGCCATGGCAGGGCTAGAAAGGAGACTGTCCCTTTAGGGAGAGCACAGGTTCTCAGTCCCCTGCTGCTGCAACAAAGCTTCCAGTTCAAGATCATAACCTTCCCCATTAAGATCTCAAAGGGCACAGGTCCTGGTTCTCAGAGTCATCAACGCTTTTCCTCAATCCTGCTCCCACCCAAAGCCTTCCTGAGGTCCCCACTGCCCTCAGAGCAAGTGTAACCCCTTACCTGGCATTCAGGTGCTTCATGATCTGGAGCTGCTGCTATCCCTGGCAGCCCCGCCTTCATCCCACACCTGCTCACCTGGCTGCTCACATCTCCAGGGCACCCGGGCCCTTTCACAGCCCCAGGAGTCTGCATGAGTTGAGCCTCTTCCAGGACATCCTCCTGGCAGGGACGGAACTTGTCTCTCCCACGGCTGTGTTCCAAGCCATCTCTGCACACCCCGTCCCAATAGCAACAGCAAACCTGTCTTGAGCTTCCCACGAGCCCTGCACGTTCTAAGTGCTTTGCATTAACTCACTTAATCCTCACAACAAACTTACAGGAGGTGTTATTCATTCGTTCATTCATTCATTCAACAAATAGTTATGTATTCATCCTGGGCCATGCTGTTCTAGGTGCTGCGGACACAGCAGGGAACAAACCTCACAAAATTCCTTCCCTCTGCGGCTTACATTCTGGACAACTAAAGTAAAATACAGGATTACTGAGTAGTGATTAGAGCCATATGGGAAAATAAAGCAAGGAGGGAGAAAGAGAGGGCCTGGGGGGATGGGGGCTGCCCTTTAAATGTTGGAGTCAGATGACATTTAAGCAGAGACTGGAGAAAGGTCAGAAAGCGAGCTAGGCTCGTATCTGGGGAATAGCATTCCAGGCGGAGAGAACGGCCAGGGCCATGTATAAGGGCAGGACTTTCCTCGGCATCAGAAGAGTGAGCAAAGAGAGGGTAGCAGCAGTGAGGCCAGGAGATGAGGCTGGGAGGTGAGGTGAGGCCACATGGCGGGGTGGGGGGGTGGGCAGGTGTCACCGGAGGACTTGAGTTTTCCCTCTGATTGAGACAGGGAGGCACTGAGAGCACTGAGAATGAGCTCTCGGGAGCCAATGTGGAAGCAGAAAGAACAGGGAGGTGAGAGACGATGCTGGCTCTGAGCAGAGGGGTGGATGAAGGGAGGAAGGAAGATCTGGCTAGGTCTGAAGGTAATGCCAGCTGCACTTCCTGATAGTCAGATGTGGGGCTGAGGAAAAGAGAAGAGTCAAAGCTGTCTCTGAGTTATTGATCTGAGCCCCTAGAAGAATGGAGGTGCCCACTTCCTTACAGATAAGGAAACGAAGGCACAGAGAGTCAGCTAATCTGCCTGGGATCACACAGGCAGTCACTGGCGAGTTGGGATTTGAATGCAGGGCTCTGGCTTTGGAGACTTTGAGCTCCCCAATCCTCTGTGGTGTTCAGAAAATGTTGAACTTTGATAAAAGAGTTTTTGAGAGAAAGAGATAGAGACAGTCAGTGCCTGGGTTGGAACTGTGATTGCTTCTAGGACTAGAGCACACAGACTTGTACCTGAAGGCTCTTATCACCAAGGCCTAGCTGTCCCTGTAGTTTCACTCGGGTGGCACTGGCCATGCCAGCCTGTGTGAGCCAGCCTGCTTCCTGCAGTGTCCCAGGCACGGGAACAGCACCCACAGGTTCCTGGCACAGAGGCAGCTTCCTTGCCCCCATTACATTCAGGGTGCCACCACCATGGAGAGCACCAACGGGGCTTTGCAATGTTTGGACAACACAGTCTGGAAGGGCTCCTCCTCATCCTGGAGCCCAGGCCCAGGTTAGCTGGGGTGTGGGCTGGGGGCAGGGCCTGGGGAATTCTGGGGCTCAGCCCAGCACCCTTCGTCTCAGTGTTTCGTCCCTCAGCCCTTCAAAGGACAACTGCCAATCCCGATTTGCAGATGGGGAAACTAAGGCTCAGTGAGGCAAGGTCGCCTGGCCAAGGTGAAACTTCCATGGCTCCCCATTGCCTTCTAGAAAAGCCCAAGAGCCTTGCCGATAGGAGGCTATTGATTGACGGCCTTTATTATTTGCACTTACTTTGCATATTCATACATTTTGATGTGGAAACATCAGTGTGTTTGTTTTTAGAAGAAGACCCCACCCCCATAGGATGTGTCATGTAAATACATGGTATAGTTCCCTTTTTAAAATCTGAAAAGCTGGGACTTCCCTGGCTTCGCAATGGTTGAGAGTCCGCCTGCCAGTGCAGGGAACACAGGTTCCATCCCTGGCCTGGGAAGATCCCACATGCCGCAGAGCAGCTAAGCCCGTGTGCCAGAACTACTGAGCTCACGTGCCTCAACTACTGAAGCCCACGGGCCTAGAGCCCCTGCTCTGCAACAAGAGAAGCCGCCGCAATGAGAAGCCCGCGCACCGCAACGAAGACCCACCACAGCCAAGAATGAATGAATGAATGAATTTTTTAAAAATCTGAAAAGGTCAGATTTCTGAAACCTCTAGCCCCAAGAATTTGGGATAAGGGATTGTGGACCCTTGATACCCTAAGGCTCTTGCTATTTTCCAGGCACTAGGCTGAGCACTTTGCACCTGTTTAATCCTGACGCTAACCTAACCACGTTATTATTATGCCCATTTAATAGACGAGGACGCTGAGGCTGCAAACTGTGCAGCAACTGGCCAGGTTCACGAGTGAGGGCTGGAAGCCGAACGTCAGACTGCCACTAAGAGCCATGCCCGTAGTCAACACAGGCCATTGTTTTCTCCTGCCCTCTGTGTAGTTTGCCAGGCTGGCTGGGGGCAGAGCACACAGGTTGGAGGGCTGAGTCACTGGCACTGCCCTCTAGCAGCCTATAATGTGACTGGGCAAACAGGTCTGGTACCTCCTGTCAGTCAGAGCCATCAGGGGAGGGCTTCGAATGCTGCTTAGAGCCCTTGAACTTTATCCAGAAGGCCATGGGGAGCCATGGAAGGATCTAGAACATGAAAGTGACATGATCAGGATGATGCCCTAAAAGAGTGGTGCCCGAGCATGAGTGGGCATCAGATGACTTGTTAACACAGCACTGGGCCACACCCCAGCGTTCCTGATTCACTAGGTCTGGGGTGGGGCCTGGGAATTTTTATTTCTAACCGGTTCCCAGGTGATGCTGCTGGTGGTGGCTGGGGACTCCACTCTGAGAACTGCTGCTTTAGAACAGCACAGCAGGGTGGAGGGTGGCAGCAGCCCCCGAGTATCTGCTGGAATAAGGGCTGCCGCGTCAGTCACTTGATCCTCCCAACTTACAGGTGACGAAGCACTGAGACTTAGCGGGAAGAGACTGCCTGCACGGGCTACACAGCTATTCAGTGTTGGAGCAGGGGCTCCATCCTAGGGGCTTAGGGCTTCAGAGAGAGCCCCCTACTTCCCCACCTCTGAGTCAGGGCCTAAGATGGGGACCTTGGAGGACAGGACAGGGTGCTCTGTCCTCAGCGAGTTGCACAGTCACTAAGTCCATGAGTCAGACAGACTTAGGCGTTGCTGCATCCCTGGGCTCCAGACCCTCTCACTCACTCCACCTGTGGACCCCCAGCTGCAACAAATCTGCCCCAACTCCTTGTCACGGCGGCAAGGCCAAGAACAGGTTCAACCAGGCCAGGTCACAGCTGCTGCAGAGGGAGAGAGGGGGTCATCAGGGCGAGCCCCGAGACCACCATCCCTGGAGAAGCCCCTGCCTAGAATTCCCCAAATGGCTGCTTCAGGGAAATCAAGGCAACCTCCCTCATGTCCCTGTTCTCTGGTGGGTTCTTGCCCTCAGCACCCCATGGGGGGACTCCCTCCTGCACCCCCAGGAAGGGACAGCACTGGGGGACCAGTGGCTGTCCTCTGTCTGCTCCCAACAAGGCTCACAGTCCTGGTCCCCTTCCCGGCTGAGTGAGCCCGAGCTCCGTTTGCAGACTGCGTGCCTCACAGGACGCAGGTGGGTGAGATGCTGCGTTATCAGGAAAACCACCATTTCCTGAGCATCTACTATGTGTCAGTCCTATTGTCAGGCATCTGCCAGGCACCCTCTCATCAGCATGACAGATGATCTGCTGGTCTGCGTGTCTCCCCAGATAGGCCTGGGGATATCACACCACCACCACCTACCATAGCCGTGCTTACGCAGACACTTTTTTTTTTTTAAGAGAGAAAGTGAAAAATCAGAAGCAAATAAGGCAAATCGTTAAGGGTTAAATAGGAGTGAGGGGTGCTTGTCCACAGTATGATTTTCTGAACTTTGCCATATACTTGAGATATTTTCTGATACAATTACGCTGGCCTGGAAGGTGGGAGGAGGTCTGAGGAACTGGGTCAGGAGCTGGCCAAGCTCGTCATCCTCCAGATGTGATGGTGAAGGTGGGAGGGTGTGACTCACCGAGACAAGCAGGGATGTTTTGGATGTTTCTGAAACTCTGAAGTCCCCTATCCCCTTGCCAGCTCCTGACAAGGGCGTGCATGGGGTGAGCCCCTGAAATAGCAGAGTGAACCAGGGTGCCCAAGGGGACACCCATCAGCATTCTTTTCTCAGGCTCCCCACAGGGAGCGCATGCGGAATGCTGGGATTTTAAGCCATTCCTGGAGCCCTTGTGGTTCCAGCTTCAACCCCAGCTCCACCCCCCACCCCATGGCCATGGAGTCGGCCTTTGGGTCCACAGGCCCACAGAGACGGTGAGTCCCCAAGCCCTGGGCCTGGCGGAAGAGAACCTCGGCTGTAGAAGTGGGCTGACTACAGCTTGTTGTGCTGTTGCTAAGTTCTGTGCTGATCAATCTGGCCTCAGGGGTTTTTTTTTTTCGTTTGGTTTCTTGTTCTGACGGGAACTGGGCGAATCTGGAGCCGGTTCATCACAGCCACAGCATTCCAGAGGGTGTGACTCCGCGAGCTCCTTTTTGGCCTCAGATCCCGCGTCCACACCCTCCCCAGCTGCCGAGCGGATGGATGGACGGTCGGGAGAGCAGCTCAAACCAAGGTTGGAATATGATTTATAGGACTCCATCCTCACTGTCCTTTCTAGAAGCTAACTTGTCTTCCAGTGAGAAGGAAGACGTTTTAAGGTCAATGCTGAATTCTGTTTCTTGGTTCCACAGTTCCCTTTTCTGGTATTTAAAGCTCCATAAATTTTGTTCCAAAAGTCTGCCCCGCCTCCTGCCTCATATTCCACAATGCCCTGTGAGCCAGACAGGCTGTCCCCACAAATATCCTCGCTCCTGGGGTTCATCTCTCCCCTCCTCCCTGCGGCCTCGCAGCTGGATGGGATCAGATCAGGCAAACCCTCAATTCCTTCCTCCCTCCCTTCCTGCCTGCATCCCTTTCCTCCTGCCCTCTTCCCTTCGGGAAACATCCACGCTCTCCCAGGTCTTATGCGCTCGAGAGACAGACAATATTGTAAATTTTTAAAATTATTTATACGTTTTATAAATAAAATTACACTGTAATATACATTCAGGTGGAGATGAGCACTGTGAAGAGAAACTAAGGTGGGAAAGAGGTGAAGAGATTGGGGTGTACGTGTGGAGAGAGTTGGGGGTACTGCAGATGAGGGTCGGGGGACGCCCTGAGGAGGTGGTATTTGGGCAGAGACCCGGAGGGGAACACGGGAGCTTGTGGGGAAAGGCACATGTCGGGGGAGGGAACGGCAGGTGCACAGGCTCTGAGGGGAACAGCAAGGAGGCCTGTGTGTTTCAAGCAGAGGAGTGACACAGGAGGAGAGGAGGAGAGCTGGACCTCGGAGGCTGGGGCTTGGTGAGCTGCAGCAGGATCTGGGGTTTTCTTCCACGTGCGCTGAGAAGCTCCTGGGAGCCGAATGCAGAGAGGTGACGACCTCAGAGCTGGTTTTTTTGTTTGTTTGTTTTTTTAACATCTTTATTGGAGTATAATTGCTTTACAATGGTGTGTTAGTTTCTGCTTTATAACAAAGTGAATCAGTTATACATATACATATATCCCCATATCTCCTCCCTCTTGCTTCTCCCTCCCACCCTCCCTATCCCACCCCTCTAGGTGGTCACAAAGCCCCGAGCTGATCTCCCTGTGCTATGCGGCTGCTTCCCACTAGCTATCTATTTCACGCTTGGTAGTGTATATATGTCCATGCCACTCTCTCACTTCGTCCCAGCTTACCCTTCCCCCTCCCCGTGTCCTCAAGTCCATTCTCTACGTCTGTGTCTTTATACCTGTCCTGCCCCTAGGTTCATCATGAAAGGATCCCTGGCAGCTCTTGGGCCAAGAGTAGAAGCAGACGTAGGGCCTCAGGTAAGAAGCTCCTGCTGCATCCGGGTGGGAGATGGGTCAGGTCTGAGGGGCGAGCACTGGTGGCCATCAGGAGAAGCAGTTGCGTGTTGGAGGGACAGCATGTGATACAGCCAGCAGGGTATGAGAGAGAAAGAAGAGGCAGTCAAAAACAGCTCCGGGGCTGTGGGCTGGAGCCGCTGCTGGGGGGAGGGCGACAGGGAGGCCAAAGTGGGGAAGATGCAAGCAGAGCACGTTCGTGGGGGCCAAATCAACAGGTTAATTTGGGTTCCAGACAGCGTGGAGCCTTGTGAGCCATGGAAGCAATAAACAGACCTCTCTGAGATGGTTCTGAGGACAGCCGAGGAGCCACTGGGGGGTTTAGGCAGAATTCCAGAACATTCCAGATGTTATCTCCTCTGGGGAGCTTCCTGGTGCAAGTGGCTTCTCTCTTGTTAAGTTGCTTCATCTCGGAATCTTGACTCAGTTTCTCCAATATTCTGTTTCACTCTAAAAGCTTTTGCTATGTGCCGGGCACTGTGCTGGCTCTAGTACCAGCACTGTTGCGTGAATTAGGAGGCGTGGACCATTGACCATGGTACCATTTCACAGAGGAGGAAAGAGGCAGAGAGAGAGGCGGTCACTCGTCCAAGGCCACACAGCTGAGAGGCTGGGACTCAGACCCAGGCACCCAGGCTCCAGAGTCCGCGTGTCAAACCACTGCACTCCATTATCCAACTCTTTATTCACCTCCACCACCAGCCCACACACACACACACACAGTGCCACGTGGCTGTTCACGTAGAGACCTCCAGGAGAACCTGTATCGAGGATTATGCTCCAGCCTGGTCTTATCTGCAGGCCTGCTCTCTCTGTGTTTATTAATTCACTAGATAAATATTTGTATGTGAAGGCCACGGCTGGGGCTGCTGGGAAGCTGAGACGGGGAGCCTGTGTTTCCTGCCTGTGCTGTGATGGAGGGAGGAGGTGAGGAGGTGGGGACCCAGGCTAGGAAATTTACCCTACAGAATGCTCCGTGCCTGCAGAGAAGGGAGCCGCAGACAGAGCCCAGGACGGCCCGGGTTCGGGGCAGGAGAGCATCGGGGGGCTTAACAGTGCCTGTCTTAGGGTCACCTCAACCCTGTGTGACCTTGGACACGTCACCCCACCTCTCCCAGCCTCAGTTTCCACCTCGCTGTAAAGGGGGCCGAGCAACCCACCTCCTAGAACCATGTGAGGCCACCACCCCTCCACAAAGAGAACCAGAACTTCCACTTCCCAGGCTGGGATAATATTGCGTGTACGTCACGCACCGTTCTCCGAGAAGTTCCTTTCTCAAAGAGGCTGGAGGGTAGCGAAATGTTGGGTGGTGGGTCTTGGCTTTCCAGTGCCCCCCGCCCCACACAAGTCACTCTGGGACCACGTGGATTCTCGGCTGTCTCTTGATACAGCAGATTCCAGGGCCTTATTTAGAAGGCCCTGCGGGGGGCAGTGGCACACTCCCCCAGACCCCCAGTAATTCACCTGCTCTCCCCTCACCTCCACCCCCGCCCCAGGGTGAACAAGGGCTCAGGTTCTGGAGCCAGGTTGACGCCCCGACCTTGGGCACAGCCTCAGAACCCTAGTCCCAGGCTTGCCAGAAACCCTTGCCGCCATGGGGTTATGCCCTGGGCTCCTGAATTTAGCAGTCAGGATGGGGTGACTGGGGACCCAGAGAGGAAGAAAATCAAGACCTTCTTTGGGAACGAAGGTGTGGATGCTTCATCCTCGGAGACACCTGCACCCCTACCAATTTCATTAAAATTAAATACCATGTGTCTTAATAAGAACGTGTCCCACTCTTATAATAAGACCCATAACGTTGCATATAGCCTAGAAAAAAGACTAGAAGGAAAGACAGTAGCAGGTAGACAATTCCTGTCTCTGGGTGGTGGGAGATGAGAAGCTATTTTTATTTATGTATTTATTTCTTCTATATTTTCTAAACTTTCTCCATTGAAAATACACCACCATTAAAATCACGAGGAAAAAAGCACTTTTTTAAAAAGATTATATTGTTAAAAAGATAAAACTCAAAGATACAGTAGAAAGCTATAAACGATCTTTTGAGAAGTAAAATAATAAAATTTCAAAGCAAAAATAATACATATAATTACATATAACCCAGATGAGAACAGAATATATGTAAGATACGTGACTAAAGTAACATATAAGATTTATATGGGTGTAACAATATATGCTAAATGAGAAAATTATATGTGAGATAGAATAAAAATAATATATCTCCTGTACATCCCCCATTACAGCACATACTCGGGGCTCCCTGCAATTTATTTGTCTTTCTCTCTTGCTGGAGTATGAGGCATTCACAATTCAAGGTAAAGTTTTACTTATCTCTGTTTTGCACTGAGAACCTGGCACATAGTAGGTACTCAATAAATGTTTATGAATGAAAAAATGAATATCTTCTTTTTTAAAAAAAAAAAAAAGATACACATGAAAACTCTAAGTATACCGGGACCTGATGTAAGAATGTATTTGACAAGTTAATAAAACATAGAAAGTTGTATATTCTCAGACAGAAGGCCCAGAGGCAGGTCCAGCGCCAGTGTCCCCATCTGAGTCTGTCCCTCTGGGCTGCTTGTGGACCATGTGTCCTGCCCATCAGGCTTGGAGGTCCAGGTAGACAGGGGCTGTCTTTGTTCATCTCTGAACCCAAGGCTCCTACACAGCTTAGGCTGTTCTCAGGAGGACAGAGGAAACATGTCAACAGTCAGAAAAAGGCATTAGGCAAGATGCCCTTTATTCCGTAAACGAGTTAAGGTAGGTCCTTGATTTCAGACAAAAAGGTATAAGGGCACCCAAGGATAGGTCCTTAAAGGCGGACCAAGCTCCCCTGAAGGTGGAGCTTCTCTCCCCACTGCTGCTTCTGCCCTGAGGATAAGAGGAACCCCACACCAAGAATTTAGGGGAGGCATCACTGGCTCAAAAAGGAAACACCAAAAATGAGAGGGGAAAGGAAGTGGCCTGTTTCTCTTCCTGCGTTACGGTGCTGTTTACTTGTCTGTATTCCCTTCTCGACGGAGTTCCTCACACACAGGGGTAGGGACTTCTCCAATTTTGTCCAAGAAACTCTCAACAGTTGATTAAATTCAAATGACATTGAATGAACTACTCTGTGTCACTATATTTGTTGAATGAATGGATGAATGGATAAAGAGCCATTTTTGCCGCATTTCCAACCCTGGGCCTTTCCACTGGGGATTGCAGAATGAGTAAACCTTTGGGCATTCATTCGAAAATATTCACTGAGCTTCTAGTATGTGCCAGGCGCAGCTGTAGCCCCCATGCTCACGAAGTTCCCTTGTTCTGTCACAGCTACAAGTGATATTTTAAATTCACTCTCCCTATACATATGTTGACTTGGGGGATTTTTTTTTTTCCTTTTAGAAGAAAGTAGATTCCACTTCTAGATATATACTCAAGGGAGATGAAAACATATGTCCATACAAAACTTGTTGAATATGCATAGCAGCATTATTCATAATAGCCCCAAAATGGAAACAACTCAGATGTCCGTAAACCAAGGAATGAATAAATAAAATGTGGTCTATCCATACAATGGAACATTATTTGGCCATAAAAAGCAATGAAGTCGGGCTTCCCTGGTGGCGCAGTGGTTGAGAGTCCGCCTGCCGATGCAGGGGACGCGGGTTCGTGCCCCGGTCCGGGAGGATCCCACATGCCGCGGAGCGGCTGGGCCCGTGAGCCATGGCCGCTGAGCCTGCGCGTCCGGAGCCTGTGCTCCGCGACGGGAGAGGCCACAACAGTGAGAGGCCCGCGTACCGCAAAAGAAAAGAAAAAAAAAAAAGCAATGAAGTACTGATACATCCTATAACATGGACGAACCTGGGAAACATTACGCTATATGAAAGAAGCCAGTCACACAAGATCCCATACAATTCCATTTATGTTAAGTATCCGGAGAGATAAATCTATAGAAACAGAAAGTAGATTCGTGGCTGCCTAGTGCTGAGGGGAGGAGGGCTGCTAACAGGTTGGGGGTTCTTTCTGGGGTGATGAAAATGTTCTGGAACGGATTGTGGTGATGATGGAAAAACTCTGAATATAGCAAAACCCGCTGAATCATACATTTTAAATGGATGAATTATACGGCATGTGAATTATATTTCAATAAAGCTGTTATAAAACCAAAAAGAAACAAAGCAGAGAATTTCCCCTTTTGAGCAGGCAAAGTGTCGTGGAAATGTATTTCACAACCGAGTGGTCTGCTTCGGTTTAGCGGTGGAATTTTTCTTTTTCAACAACTTTGAGCTCATTCTTCAAGACAAATTTTCTCAAGGTTCGTGCTAGGAAGCCCTCCCCTCCTCCACCGCCACTGCCTGTCCCCAGGCCAGGCAACCCTGTCCGTGGCCCTTGACGTAGTTTGTTCCACACACCATCCCCCCCGCCCCCCCCCCCCCCCCCCCCCCCCCCCCCCCCCGTGCCCGCACTGCTCAGCTGCTGCCAGCTCCCAAATGCCAGAGCTGCCACCTGGGGCCCTGACAACGCAGGGGCCCGCAGTGTTGTGATATGTTTGGATGGGGAGTGCGTTTGGTGCCAGTGTTACCAGGCTCCGAGGGTGACTAATCCCATCTGCATTTTTAGTTTCAGCTGCCTGAACTGTTCATCTGGAGGACCTCAAACCTCTCCGTTGTTTCTGGAGAAGTTTGCCTCCCATTTGCAGATGCATGAGCTTAATTAAACCCATTCTCCAGCCCCCTCAGCCACCACTCACACACATATGTGCCCAACAAATACTTACTGAGCACCTACTATATGCTAGACACTAATCTGGGGAGACAGCAGTGACAAGACAGAGTTCTTGATCTAATGGAACAACAAAAAATACAGTGTTTTTTAAAAAGAAAAAAATATCTAGATAGTGTTAGAAGTGCTGTTCAGGTAAATGAACCAGTGTGAGGTGACTGTGGTACTCAGAAGTAACCTGAAGTTACTTCTAGTTCGGGGGGTGACGGAGGCAGTGAGCAGCTTCTCTGGGGATGTGGCTGAGAAAGAGGTGTGTGTGTGTGAAGATCTAGAAAAAGAGTGATCTAAGCAGAGGAAACATCTTGTGCAAAGGCCCTGAGGCAGTAATAGCAATGAGGCCGCCGTGATCCCACCTCACAGCCAGTGAGGAAGGACAGGGAATAGGTTGGGGCAGACTGGGTTATATAGGGCCTTCCCTGCATTGGGGAAGAGTTTGTTTTCTCTAAATGCAATGGGAAGCCATTGGAGGGGTTTACAAGAGAGGAACGGGATGTGGCTTACATTTTTTCAAAGGTCCATCTGGCTTCGGAGGGGAGAAAGCGCCTAGACAGGCGGTGGGTATGGGGAAAGCTGGGGCCGGGACAACCTTCAGTCTCTTAAGGTTCAGGTTCCCTCTGTCCTCCACCTCTTCCACCATCTCCAGGAGGCCACCAGGGCCTGGGCAAGCGTTCCCCTCTCATTCTAGTATCGCTGTAGTAGTTTTTTTCTATACTTTTACCGTTTTTACTTGAAAATTTCCTTTAAATCAATTGCTATTTTACTTAACTGATTTTTTAAAAGGAAATTATATCACAGCCAAAAGTCATGAGTTTAATGCATGACTTACATTTTTTTCCTAATACATATTAACATAAATACACAGCTATTAAAGGTTTTTAAATGAACAAGCGAATATAGTCTTAAGACTAAAGATGAATAGTGAAATTATAAGAATAATAGTTCACCAGAAACATATGAGTTTGATACACTAGTTATTTCTTTTCTAATACACATGAAAATAAATACTTGGTTATTAAAAAAAGAAAAAAAAAGCTAATCCAAGTACCAGTTCAAATCATCTAAACGGGCCCTGTCTATTCTACTTATGGGCTGTGTGGTCTTAAGCTGGTTACGTAACCTCTCTGAGCCTCAGTTTCCTCTCAGTGAAGTGGGGATAATAACAACCCAACCTCGTGAGGTGATTATGAGAACTACATATGTGAGAAGTATTTAGAATAGTGCTTCACACAGTATAGGCTCAACAAACATAATGTAGCTGAACCAGCCCGTGGATGGTCAGAAGGAGTTTCCCAGCTGTCTGCAGGCCCAGTCCAGCCAGTACCCAGACCCACTGAGCCAGCCCATCCTTCTCTTGCCCCGCCATCCCCCAATCCACACCCGGGGAATTCCCAGGTTGACCGGCTGGGCCTGACCCCAGGAAGGAAGGTCATGGTAAATGAGGTGCATATACATTGCTAAGGACAGCCAAGTGACCGGTATGCTCAGGGCTCAGCACACAGCCCCAACCAAGGACCCACTCGAAGGACCTTACCACAACCCTTCTCCTCCCCCAACAAGCAGACAAGAGGCCCAGAGTGGGGGAGGGCCTTGCCCAAGGTCATACAGTGAGAATCAGGAGTTAAACCCATGTCAGGGACTCCAGGGTCCCTTCTTTGCCCACGGCACACACATGTGTATATGTCTGTGGGTTTTAATCCCCTCCAAGGGCCCCGCTGTCTGCTCCCCACTTCTTCCCACACTCCCTGTACCCAGGAACTTGCAGTTCCTGACGGTCCTGCTTATTTCACACCTGTGCATTCTGCTGGCTGTTCCCTGTGCTGAAATGCCCTTCCTCTACCTTCGCTGCCCCCTTCACCCCTCTCCCACCTGGCAAACTCCTACTCATACTTCAGGGCCCAGCCAACTTCCTCCTCCTTCAAGAAACCTTCCCTGATCCTCAGCCTAACAGAGTCAGTCCACTCCTCCTCCTTGATCACAAGGTGCTTCTAAATCACAGTGACTGAGAGCTCCTGGAAGGTGGAAAACAGCCTCTCTCTCAACTTTGTTGTTATCAGTATCTACTAATAACTAAATTAGTATCTACTAATAACTATTAATAACTACTAATAGCACACGAGAGAAAGAATTCACGAATCAACTGGCTTGCTGTTCCATGGTCTTAAAGGCAGCAGTTGTGTTTAGTGGTTTTGTTGTTGTTGTTGAGAGTAGAGCATGGGCATCCCAGCAGGGCTGCCATGTGCATTCTCACAGACTGTGCACTGCACAATGCCGGGGATGCCAAGCAAACAGACTGCAATGTGAGTGATACCCTCTGGAGGTGGGCAACATGCCAGCCTGACCCTTGGCCATTCTGGAAACACGGGCAGCCCATCAGGTAGTGGAACAGAAAGGGTACAGGCTTTGGATTCAGACTCACTTGAGTTCAAATCCCAGTTTTGCCACTTATTCACTGTGTGGCCCTGGGCAAGTGACTCAACCTCTCTGAGCTTCTGCAGTAAAATAGGAATAGATACCCACCTCACAGGGCTGTCATGAGAGTTAAATAACGATATACCTAACACATGGTAGGCCCACGATAACTGTTCCTTCCTTTCCTTAGACATCTGGAACTCTTATACCCCTCCTCTAACTTCCAGACTGTTTGCACATCCAGTCCAGGTTCCTCTCAGACTGGCTGTAAAAACTTTTTGTCCTTGTCCCAGAAGCCTGGTCACTAGGACCAGTTTGATACAGATCAGTAAGATCCTGTTCCTCTAGGAATTTCCCTCACAGATGCCCTCACATACGTGCATGAGAATATACACCAAAGCATCATGTGTAGGAGCAAAAGACTGGAAACGAACTACATGCCCACCAGAAGAGGCAGAATAATGAATTACATGCATCCATACCATGGGTACCACACAGCCGTAACAAAGAGACAGCTCCCTGCATACTAACAATGTGTCATTTCCAAGATAAAGTAAGGGCAAAAGAAAAGTATGGAACAGTTTGTTTAGTTAACCAGCTGGGGGTCAGGATCTGACACAGAACAAGGAAAATGACATAAGGGAAAATTCTTAGTTCATCCGAGGGTGGTTCATAACTAGTACCACTCGGGATGCAGAGGAAAGAGGCTAATTCCTTACACACAATGATCCCGTGGGCCATTAAGGAAACTCCACTGAGAAAGGCTGGCCAGACCGTCTCTGAAGGACACAGGGGAAACTGATCATATCAGCTCCTGGAATGGAGAATTAGGAGACCCGGGGTAGGCGTGGAAAGAAGTCACTTACTACCCATCAGATACGTGGGTACTTTTGAATCTTTTGCCATGGACATGACTTAATCTGTTAAAATGAAAGCAAACCATTTTCAATAAGATTTTTTTTAAGCTTATATGTATGAATTAATAATAATGCCCTTTGACCTTGGGCAAGGCTCATGGTGACTCCATTTCCCCGTAATTAAAATGGAAGGACCATCGGGGGAAGAGGACAGATTGCTGTTCTCACATCCCAGCGCCCACCACTGTGATCCGGTCCTGAGGGCCCCCGCTGGATTTAAGCAGGGCTGTCTTCAGAGGTGTGGGATGTCACCATCCGGGGCCACGCCCGATTTGGGCACAAGCTCTAGATCCCAGCAACTGGAGCTTGCTGTTTACACCATTTCCCAGGGAGCAGGGTCACAGTAGGCCCTGGCTCAAGGGGTCTAATTTTAAACACTGGGTTAAAAAAAAGGTCAGATCCTGGCTACCTCCAAGATGCATGCACTTTAGAAAGATGACCCTGAGTGCAGAGGCCAGGAAAGAGAAAATGATCTCTCTCTACTCCTCCCTCTCTCCCTCCTTCCACAAACTCCAGCAAGTGCCTATCTGCCAGGAGTGCCCAGCAGGGAGGAAGCAGTGACCTGGGGCAGTTCCCATTTCACCCTAAGTCAGGCATCTCAAAGCTGCCTGACCTCAAGAATCCCATCTGGGGGCATCAGTTCAAAATAGATCACTAGCCCCCAGCCACATGATTCTTAGGGATCTATTTGGATTTCTTATTTCACATGTGGTTTTCATATGTTTGGAGTTTTTTGTTTGTATATTTGTTTTATCATTTGTTTAGATCAGAATCCCAAATGGGATCTACACCTAGCAGTTGGTTGATATGGGTCCAAATCTCCTGTACTCTGTTGATTTCCTCTCCATTTATTCATTTATTTACTTACTTAGTTATTGTTTCTGTTTCCCTCTCTCTCTCTCCCTCTCTTCTTGCAATTTATCTGTAGAAGAAAGTCTATATCTATAGAAGAAGTCTATATCTATAGAGTCTCTCACATCTGAAGTTGGCTGACTGCATTCCCCAAGGTGCCACTTAACATGTTGCTCTGTCCCCTGTAGCTCCTGTAAATTGTTCAAATCCAGGGACCTGATCAGATTCCGGTTTGAGTTTAGGGCAAGACTACTTCCTGGGTGCCGCATGTCCTTCCATCAGGAGGCTCACACTCTCTTTTTGTGATGCGAGCAGCTGTAGCTGCCCAATTCATCCCTTAGGGGTTACCCGGTGATGACTCTCTAATTCTATCATTTTTTCCTACATTTTAAAGCAGGTATAAGTCTATAAATAGAAACTTACCCTCATCAACCATTTGGTTACCCTAAGGTACCATCTGTATAGGAAAGGTAGAATTAATTATGATTCTTTCTCTTTCTTTAGGAGCTCAAATCCTTTTTGGTACAACAAATGTGTGCTGGCAGTAGGAGAAGGCACATCCTCTGAGCCTCTGTTGCCCTACCTGTAAAATGGGGATGCTGGTGAACTCACAGACTTATTCTGGTATGTGCAGAGAGTTCAGTTCTCCTGTCAAGGCTGTGTGCATGCAGGCTTTCTGTGAACTGCAGAACCGGGCACGCAGCAAGATTTGTCGGCCTCCTCCCACCCCTCGACCCAGCCTCCACCCCAAGCCCACTGCTGGAAGATGGCAGAAGCCATCAGGGCCTTCCCTTAGCCATGCACAAACTCCGTTTGCCGCGGGTGGCCCTCTCTGCGCCTGTTTCCTGTACGGTGAGGATGCTAGTGCCTTCCTGGGGCGGAGGGGGTGTGGTGCTGTGGGAACTACATGAGATAATGCAGCCAGGGGCCTGACGCCTGGGGAAACCCAGTAAGGGGTCCTCTCCCTGTTCTCCCAGCTCTCCCCCTTCAGGATACACACACACACACACCCCAGTGCGCGCGCACACACACACACACACACACACACACACACACACACACACACACGCACACACCCCAGCGCGGTCACTAAGGGCGGCCCTATTGTTTGGCCACTTCCCCAGCCCGGAGGGGGCGGCTGGGAACGCGAGGCGACCCTTCCTGCTGGGCGCTGACTCGCCTGCGGAAGGAACAGAGCGTCTCGGCGCTGGTGCATTCCTCTCGTGCTGGGCCTAGCGCACGTGCGCACGCACGCACGTCCGCACCTCCGGCGGCGTCCAGTCGCCCGGCCCCACAGCCCTGATGGCGTGATCCGGCTCCTGACCTGATTGGGGACGGGGCTCCCATGCAGGCCGGGACGGAGGCACCAGCTTCCCTGAAACTTCCCGCCCCGTCTGGGTGGGCTCAGTTGCCCATTCGACGGCTGAGCAAAGTGGAGGCCAGAGGCAGCCAGGATGCCTCGGGCAAATAGGGCAGAACCCGGGCCCTTGAAAATATGCATTTTCAAACTATTTTCTAACTACCTACTATTCCCAAGATTTGATATCTCCCCCCTACCTGCCTCCCATCACCTCTACCCAGGTGCCCCGCTGTGCAGCCTGCAAGGGGTGGCCTGAGGACCACTCAGACAGCGGATTTACGTGACCAGGTCTTGCCACCCCAAAAGGGACAAGCAGTGGGGAACAGAGCCATCACTTCCTGAGCACCTACTAGTGTCAGGCCTCCTGTAATGACAGTCTCTCAATTAACCCTCATGACAACTTGACCAAATAGATATTATTTATCCCAAATTAAGTGTCTGGCTAGGAAGTGACTGAACCCTGGTTTTCTTGGGTCCAAAACCATCCTTTTTCCAGGCAACATAATTGGGGGACTCAGGCCCCAGAACAGCAGAATTCAGATCCTGGCGCCCTTACTCAGCTCCCTGTTCTGCAATGGGCAAGTTGCTTCACCTCTCTGTGCGTCAGTTTCCTCATGTGTAAAATGGAGATGATAACAGTACCTACCGTATAGGGTGATGGTGAACATTCTGGAAGATGATGCAGGTGGTTTTCTTATTCTTATTAATTTCACTTCTAGAACTAAAAGGGGCTGAAATGGAGTTCAGGTCACCAACTGCCCAATTTGTCTGGGTCTGAAGGGTGTCCTGGATGCCAGACTTTCAGTGCTCAAACAGGGACACCCTAGGCAAACCGGCAGGGATGGTCAGCCATCATGACGCTGGTGTTTTTAAAAGTCCATACTCGTCTCCAAAGGGTAGGAAAATGGCCATTTCATGCTCTCAGTGCTGGTGAATTATCCCAGAAACCCGCAGGCCTCAAGCTCTTTGTCCTGGTCTCCCTACTGTGCCCTTGCATAGCCAAAGAGAAACCAGACATTCTCAACATGAAAATTTTCCACATCCTTCAGGGCAATCTTCTAGTGCCAGAAATAGCAGGATTTGGGAATCAGCCCAGGCCACTAAAAATAGCTCCCACAGCCCCCTGGAAGGCCTGCACCATCTGGGCCCCAGGTGGCCTGCCACCCAGCGAGCTGCCTGATCCAGCCAGCACCTTAAATGACCATGAGCTCTACCGGTCCTGCCGACCAAGGGCAGCGGACACAAAAAAGGCCAGGACCAACCTGGCCTGCCACCCAGAGATGTTCCTTCCTCTACCCCATGGCATGTCCTTCCCCTCCATCCAGACAAGACAGCACATCGCCTGCGTTCACACCTGGACAGTCATACGAGGGCCTCAGTGGTGCTCACACAAGCAGGGACACATACTGCCCCCTCCCTGCCCACCTACCTCAATGCACACTTCAGCACACACAAAACAGCCACACGCATACACACCAAGCGTCTATTTTCACTACTCAATTGTCTCTACATTCTTAATTAAGGCAGTGTTTCCAAATCTTTAATACCTTTGCTTCGATTTCTCTACAACCCCTCCACCTGGCAAATGCTAAGAAGATTTTTGCTTTTTGCTATTGGTACCCGGGGTTAAAAAAGAAAGAAAGAAAAAGGATGAATATGCATTTTCAAGCTATTTTCTAACTACCTACTATTCCCAAGATTTGATATCTCCCCCCTACCTGCCTCCCATCAAGTCAGTGAGAGTCCAAGGCCAACAGAGAGAGAGGACGCCTGGGGACACTTGTGGGCATCCCCTCCAGATTCCTGCCCAGCCTCCCAGCCTGAGCCTCACAGCCCTGGTCTAAGGTGGGAGCAGGAAGCAAAGGTGCTCTGCCTGGAGAGGGTCCAGGGCTGGAGGCTGGTACACCTGGGGCATCGCCACATGCTGGAGCAGACACACCGACTGGGCTCCCTGTGCTGCTGCCCATATCCCACCCTGGCCTGCTTGCCTGCTTTCTGGGAGGGAAACAGAAGCAGAAGGAGGGGCTTCCCTGGTGGCGCAGTGGTTGAGAGTCCGCCTGCCAATGCAGGGGACACGGGTTCGTGCCCCGGTCCGGGAAGATCCCACATGCCGCGGAGCGGCTGGGCCCGTGAGCCATGGCTGCTGAGCCTGCACGTCCGGAGCCTGTGCTCCGCAACGGGAGAGGCCACAGCAGTGAGAGGCCCGCGTACCGCAAAAAAAAAAAAAAAAAAAAAAAAAGCAGGAGGAGTGTGTTGCGGAGGCAGCCCTCCTCCAAGGAGTGGAGCCCACATCCTTGTCCTGTGGAAAAGCAGAGGAAGGAGAGCTGCCTGCCAGGGTTTGACAAGCCCCGAGCGCTGAGGCAGGAAGTCGAGTCCCAGTTGGGCTCCCCCGATCCCACTCCCACTCGAGCCTGAACCCTGGTTCCAGAGGCCTTGCTCTTAACTGCTCTGCCAGGGACCAGACTACCTGAGTCCATGGAGGCCATGGAAAGAGTTGGGTTTTATTCCGGATATGATAGGAAGCCCCTGGAAGGGTCTAAGCAGAAGTATGCCTTCAGGTATTAGTTAGAATTAAGTTCAGGTGCAAGAAAAGCCCAGCATAACAGTGGCTTAAACAACATAGGAATATAGAAATATAGTTTTCTTTCACACAGAAAAGCCCACCAGAGACAAGCCACAGACTGGGAGAAAATATTTCTGAAAGACACAACTGATAAAGGACTGTTATCCAAAATACTCAAATATCAACAGTAAGAAAACAACCTGATTTTTTAAATGGGCAAAAGACCTGAACAGAAGAAGATAGATATAAAAATGGCAAATGGGGACTTCCCTGGTGGCGCAGTGGTTAAGAATCTGTCTGCCAACGCAGGGGTCATGGGTTCGATCCCTGGTCCAGGAAGATCCCACATGCTGCGGAGCAGCTAAACCCATGCGCCACAACTACTGAAGCCGGCGTGCCTAGAGCCTGTGCTCCGCAGCAAAAGAAGCCACCGCGATGAGAAGCCCGCACACCGCAATGAAGAGTAGCCCCCGCTCACCACAACAAGCCCGTGGGCAGCAATGAAGACCCAATGCAGCCAAAAATAAATTAATTAATTAATAAATAAATTTTTAAAAAAGATGGCAAATAAGCACATGAAAAGATACCCAACATCATATGTCATTAGGGAATCGCAAGTTAAATTAAGTTACCAAAATAAGCTACAAGGATATATTGTAAAACACAGGGAATAGTCAATATTTTTAAATAACTATAAATGGAGAATAACCTTAAAAATTGTGAATCACTCTATTGTACACCTGTAACTTATATAATACTGTACATCAACTGTACTTCAATTAAAAACAAAAACAAAGGGACTTCCCTGGTGGTCCAGTGGGTGAGACTCTGTGCTCCCAATGCATGGGGCCCGGGTTTGATCCCTGGTTGGGGAGCTGGATCCCTCATGCATGCCGCAGCAAAGATCCTACATGCTGCCACTGAGACCCGGTGCAGCCAAAATAAATAAATATTTTTTTAAAACACACAAAATACCACTACATGCCTATTAGAATGGCCAAAATCCAAAACACTAACAATACCGGGACTTCCCTGGTGGTCCAGTGGTAAAGAATCTGCCTTCCAACGCAGGGGACACGGGTTCCATCCCTGGTCGGAGAACTAAGATCTCACGTGCCGCGGGGCAACTAAGCCCGTGCGCCACAGCTAGAGAAAAGCCCAAGCACCGCAAAGCAAGATCCTGAGTGCCGCAACTAAGACCCGACACAGCCAAAAATAAATAAATAAACAAATAAATATTTTTTTTAAAAAAACCAAAACACTAACAATACCAAATGCTGGCAAGGATATGAAGCAACAGGAACTCTCATTCATTTCTGGTGGGAAGGCAATGGTACAGCCACTTTGGAAGACAATTTGTCGGTCTCTTACAAAACTAAACATGCTCTTACAATAAAATCCAACAATCATTCTCTTTGCTATTCACCTAAAGAAGCTGAAAGCTTATATCCATAAAACGTAGATCAGCCTTATTCATAATTATGTATAATATTATTTATGAATAATATTTATCATTCATTTACAAATGCATTATATTTGTAGTTTATGAATTTATTCATAATTGCCAAACGTTGGAAGCAACCGAGATGTCCCTGAGTAGATGAAAGGATAAATAAATGGTGGTACATCAGACAATGGATTTAAACCATCTAGACATGGAGGAAATTTAAATGCTTATTAGTAAGTGAAAGAAGCCAGTCT